CAGCTCTTCTTTCTCTTTGCTCAGTTTGTCTTTCTCTTTGCTCAGCTCTTCTTTCTCTTTGCTCAGCTCTTCTTTCTCTTTGCTCAGCTCTTCTTTCTCTTTGCTCAGTTTGTCTTTCTCTTTGCTCAGCTCTTCTGTCTTCCTGCTCAGCTCTTCTTTCTCTTTGTTCAGTTCATCTTTCTTATTGCTCAGCTCCTCTTTCTCTCTGCTCAGCTCCTCTTTCTTTTTCCTCAGCTCGTCTCCCTCTTTGTTCAGCTCCTCTCTGACTTGAGTAAGCCTCTCTTGGATAAGCCCTGCTTTTACTAGGCTCAGGTGTCTGTCTTGGATCACCTCCTCAATCTCGTTCTCCATCATCTTTTGTTCCTCAATCAGATGTCTTCTTTCTGTTATAAGGCTTTTGATACTTTCCTGCTGATTAGCTGTCATCACACGCACTATAAAAACACACAAATCAGTCAGAAAGTCAGTGAATTTATCTGTATTAGAGAAGCACCAACATTTTCAGTTTCTCTCTCAAACACTATTAGAATATTAGACAGTATTGTTAGAATAAGATAAGGTCATTTTGTTTAAATAGCACATTTTCAGCAACTAGGTCATTCAAAATGCTTTACATGAATTAGAAGGAAATACAACAAACCAACAAACCAAGAGAAAGAGCAAAAAAGGAAAAAGTATAAGCCCATGTTTCAGACTAAGTACTTCATGATTTATAAAATAGTAGCGGTTTCTCTCTATTCTTGTCATGATAATGCTGATCTAAGGTAATGAGTAGTTTCTCTTGATAAGCTAATATGAGTTTCTCTGGATTCTAAGTTTGTTCTAATTCCTGAATATATAAATTAGATACTCCTGGTATAAGCAAAAGTACGCCATAATTTATAAACTAGAAGGAGTTTCTATGGATAATATTGAGGTAAATATTGGTCTAGAGAAGTAAAAGTGTTGGTTCTCCATGTTTGACTCAGTAAAGTAGGTGGTCCTAAATGTTGATCTAGGATAATGAGTAGTTTCTCTAGATGTGTTTCTCTGGATTATGAGTTTATTCTAATTCATTTTCTGGGCTGCAAGATCATTACAATTACTCCCTAATTTATAAGTCAGAACGAGTTTCTTTGGAAAAACTAGTAGGAGTTTATCTGCATAATAATTTCTAAAAGTTCAAAATTTCTAAAACTAATGAACTATACAGATGGACAGGGCAAGAAATGAGACATCAGGAAAAGGCACATGTGGCAACATTAATATAGCAGAGCCAGTTAAGGTAGTGACATCAGGGATTGTGTAGGTGTGGCCATGAAATGTGTCAAGTCTGTGAACAGTTCTCGCAGTCTGTGATAAGGTGGTATTATCTAAGAGTAAGTCCTTGGGTGATTTCACAGGTGTCTTCGGAAGAGAGAGAGGAGATGGAAAAGAGTGCTTTTGTTAACATATCTTCCAGGAGATTTGAAATATCCAGACAGCCAGGCTGACCCAGGAAGCCAATTCAGACAAAATATGCAAAATGCTTTAGGTTGGCCAGATTTTAAATGTTAAACTACCCTAGAGTCTCTACAGTACTTCTCTGTAGATTTCAACCATCCAAATTAATATGGCGGTACTGCTGGACCAACTAGTTTTAGTGTCCAAAGTTTGCCTGTGAGATCCCAAACAACTTGCGCTTCTTTCTTACAGCATGTCAATGTGAGTGTTCGCTAGTCGGCCCAAATCCATCACATATGCCAGGCCACCTCAAAACAGCGGAAATCCTGCTATCATGTATTCAAAAGAATCCAGGGTTAGAGTACTCCCAGGTTTCGGGCTGATCGTTAGGTTTTAGTTGTAATAACTGAAGCTGAGCATTGATTCTAGTTCGTTCCTCTTTAGGTCCAAAGATAATAACTTCAGTTTGTTTCTGTTCAGCTGGAGAAAGTTTTGGCACATCCACACATTGATCTATTCTAAGCATCTGTTCAGTGATTGGATGGGTTCAGAGTCACCTGGTGACATCGTGATGTAGAGCTGTGTATCATCTGCAGATAATCTTATTTCCTGTTATAACCTGAGCTGGTGGGAGCATGTAGATATTGAATGATGGTATGTCCGCACATCCTCAACTACGCCTTTAGCTCTTCCATAAAAACTTTAACACCTTGACAGGTTTCAAGCTGGGCAGCATTAAGTTGAACTGATTCTTGGTAACACTTCAGTGTCCCTGACTTTTTATCAACCCTCACATCTCCTCTTACTGCTGAACGCTTGCATCCCAAAGCTTTAAACTTCTAAATACTTGTTATAAAGGAAGCAACTTAAAATATATTCTGTTGAAATGAAACTCACTGTAGACGATTTTTGCAGTCAGTATGACACAAAGCAACCCCAAACACACCAAAAACAGAGAAGAGCACCGGAGTGTTGATGGTTCCACTTCTTCAGCTGAAAAAAACAACAGAATCAATAAGTTATTGATTAATCAATCAATAAAATTTATTTGTATCGCATAATTCTCAGATGATACAAAAAGATTAAAGATGTAACATAAAAACAATTCCTGTTACAGCCCATGTTAAGAAACTATAACTTCCTGCAGAGGGAATAAAAATGTGGGAAATGCTTTTGGGTAGCATTGTTACTTTTTAATCCTCAAAAACTGTAAAATACATATAGAGTCACTTACATTTAAGAGGATTTTTGGCATTGTTGACATTGACTGTAGAAGAGCTGTCTTCATCCATGTTGTTCTCCATCCTTTACGGGAAAAATAAAGATTTAGATATTATAAAATGTCCAACAGCTGCTTGAGTGATCTCAGCTGTAGCTCATGGAAAGCAGGCGGGTTCTTCTTCCTCTTTTTAAAAGTGGTCAGGGTGTGATGCAGCATCTCCATCGCTGCTCTGTGGTTCATTTCCTTACTCTAACAGTTTTAGGAAACAAGTCTGCTTCTGTAACAAACCTTTCATGCCAAGAAGCTAGCTCTCACTCTGTCTCATAAACAGTTCTGCAACTCTCCTGTCCTTGGTTATAAAATATACCTATTCACTCCACTGTTTACATCATTATTGTTTAGTTTGTGTCAGTGAAAATGGTTATTTTATTTGAAAGGTTACATAAATGCTTATGTGTATTTACTAATTTAAAACCTTGTCAGCTCTGCAGCATTCCTCCCACTGGGCATCTCTTCTTGAAATCCCAGAAAAATCCCAATCAGGCTATAAAAATCAGATCAGCTCTCTCTTCTTCTATTGCCTCAGAAAAATGGCAACGCGTTTCTGTTGTAAAGTTATGAAGCAGCACATGGAGTAGGACGTCTGGAGGTGGGGCTCAATGCCCTCCACCGCCACTAGGTGTCCCCCTGCTACATGCCCAGCAGGGTCTGTGAAAACCCGATCACTTCGGAGGAGAGCGGAGCGAGGCCGGGTAGAGTACAGCGGGACTGCCGAAGTAGAGCCAGGGGGAAAGGCGCATAAGTTGTTGACCTGCTCTGCTCATCGTTACTGTTACAGTCCGCAATTTTCGCTGTTACTATTCACAGCAGCAGCTCTGCTATCTCAGTGTCCTCAACCTCCTCAATTCTCCTCTCTGTAGTGCGTTATTACGCTTACGCAACAGCCTTAATTTGGGGTTAATACATAAGCAACTGATTTTACTGTTGAATATTGATATAATAGTGTAACTGTTGTTGGTCATTTCTATGGCAACGGGTTTACGTAGCGAAGCAAACACAGGGACCGAGGAAAATGAACCAGTGGTTTGGAGCTGTTGTTCAACGGTTTTTCTGCGTTATTTTCCATTTGCTGTGGCGAACTGCACTAAGTTAATGATATCTACATCTCCAGGTTTCATTTTATTTATGAAGAGACAATTCCGTTTCGGGCATGCGCAGCGTTGTGCGCATGCCCGAAATTAAACAATATTATGTTCATAGTAACGATAGTTAGCATTTAAGCTAGCGGGAAAAAACAGTCATTTCTAATACACAGAAATATCTCAAAACAGAATTGATGTTAATAAAACATTGTCCTGCACTTCGAAACACTTCTACAAATAATACCTATCTATAACTTGTGCACTTAACCCACCTGTGAAAACAGAAATCAGTCTTAAAGAATGGCTGTGCTGCAAGGCTGACTTTTTCTTCGATGGTTATTGGCAAACAACAAAATTGGTGCATTACCGCCACCCACTGGTATGAAGTCTGGAATATAATGACACTAAAGGATTATATAGCTTAATATATAGCAAAATATTATAACTTTTACTTTTCAAGTTAATGCTAAATAATTTAATCAAATCTAGTTTAAGTTTAATTCGTTTTAAAGTTTGAATAAACCTTATTTTCCTAAGTCATAATTTTGACAGTGTTATATGTTCTACTGTCTCATCATCCCCATAACATAAAGTGCTGTGTAGCCCAATATACCCAAATCTGAGGGGAGAAATAATTGGTAATTTTCTACTGTAGTTTTGTTTTGTGGAGGTTAACTAAGGGTTACACAAAAACTGTTAAATAAATTTTTGTTTTGCATCTTTTGCATCAGAGCACTGTGGAAGTTTCTATTTTCCACCTTGAACAGATGAATGAAATGAGAAAAAAACCTTGAGGCAACACACATCCTGCACACAAACCACCAGGCTGAGAAACAGTTTGTCAGCCTCAGAATCCTGAACTCAAGCTGCACCTAACACAGTTTCATCTCATGACTTATTTACACGCACATATCAATATATCACATAATTTACTCTGTTTTTTATTTATTATGTAGTGAATTTCTTAATCTGGGACTTGAATCCGAATAAGCTAGGTGGTATAACAATAAAAGAATCCTTCTATCCTTATTACTTTCATACATACAGCATCACCAAAATCAAAACATTTTTCTAAAACATGATATAAATAAAATCTACTTATGTCTGTAAACAAACTCATAAAAGGGATAATCATATCTTATTGTATTTGCTTAGCAAATTATTTTTGTATATTTCTTTACATTTAAAGAGATTTAAGGATTCAGGAATTTTTATTGTCATATTTCACAATAGATTGTTTGTGGTACAAAATTTGGACTCAGATCCTAGATCAAGATAATATATTGCAAGAATATATTAATGTTGTATAAATATATTAATGTTGTATAAATGTAAACATATATAACCATATTCTTTTATTCACAATCATTCTCCTCATCATTGTCCATACTTATTAACCTGTGATTCTCTTCCTATTAAATAAATATCTACAACAATCCCTTTTTCCATTTTTTTATAGTTCTTCTCACAATGACTTGAAACTTCTTGGATTCAATGATTCTGGGAGATATGATTCATTTTCAACATTTTAAAAGCTTTACTTTAACTTCTGGTTTCTTTGTCTCATTCCTTTGTCCGCCATGGATCGATTTTCTTTTAGACCTTACCTCCTTCCTTCTTTACAGATTGGTTAGCAGCTTGTAAAACAGCTTGACAAAAAGAGCAATTTAAGTTATCAACTTCCATATTCAAATTCATATTCTGTAATTCCTGATGGCTTACAAGCTTAAATGTTTCCCAATCAACACTATTGGAACACCATTTCTGCAAACCTCCTGTGTTATGTCTTTCAAATTTATTTCTGTTACTTTGCGATAGTGGTCACTCCTATCTTAACTACATGCCATGAACTAAATCCTGCCAGCAAAGTCAAAATTATTGTGAGTAACTTTAGTGCCTCTTCTAGCATTTAAACAAACAAGACTTTTATTTTCCATTAATTCTTCAACAACTGTTCCATTGAATTCCTGCACCATAATGACATATATGCATTAAAATGTTTCTTTAAACAAACCTGTTTATTTGCTTCAGCCTCCAATTTACGAGGTTCAAACTCATGATCCAGTTCTTTCTCTAAGAGCCAAGTAGCAGAGTTCAAGGTGCAACTCCAGCTCACAAAGATCGGAAGCAGTGTTTTCGACACCAGCGCGGTGAGAAACAGCCTCAGGACTAGTCTGAGAATGAAGGCTAGGTTGAAGCGCTGGTTTGAGGGAAAACATCAACTTCAATCAACGGAGAGAGAATTTCAGATTTCAGCTTTCCTTCTTTTAACTGTTTGAATACAGAAATCGAAAACTGAGAAGCAAATGACAAAAAGTGTTACTTAACCATCAAATTGCTCAATAGTAGGATTGTTAAAAAATAAAAAATAAATTAAGACAAACGAAAAAGAGGAAAAAAACACTCCTAGATGCCAAACCAAAGAGAAATTTACCCTAAAATTATGGAGTTCTAAAAACGCTCCAACAACTTGAGACTAAAAGTGCCACCCACAAAGGAGTAACTAAACACGTGGCAAACAAACGTTCAGGGCTGCCACAAGCAAAACCGCGTTCGTAAAAATCCCGATACTGAATGGTCCTCCAAATAACTAAACAATCCTATGGAATCGGACGAGACCCCAATATGTTACAGTCCTTATGTGATCACACAGGACACACAACATACGGAGTCCAGACCAGACATTTAGTATCTGGAGAGTTAATTTTAACAATAGTGGGTGTGTCTGAGAATTTCAGATTGAATAAACAAAACTAGAAATATATAGTTAAATGCACAGAATATTTCTCCGAGGCTACGTTCACACTGCAGTGTAAAGTGACCCAAATCAGATTTTTTGCCTTAATGCGACCTGCACCTGATCGTTTTATGACAGTTTGTACAACACAGATCTGATTTTCACAAATGCAACCCAGGCAACTTGGACATTTGGTTCTAAATCGTTTCTGATCTTTTCAAATGTGACCTGTGTCTGTACGGGCAGGTCGCATTCATTCGACCTGAACGTCATTGGTACTCCACAAAAGTCACTATTCTGCAATCTGATACGTGGAAAACGTTAGAAAAACATCCACCATGGTGGACGATAATGAGCTTTAAGTTGTTAATGCGATGGCTCCGGTTGGACAACAACTTTAAAATAACCAGATGGGCTCCACCATGAGCATCCATCTTTACTTCCACAAACACTGAGCACTCTCTATGTGACGTTCCTGCTTCCTCTACTGCGCATGCGGGTCACTTTTATGTCGTGTGTGATTCACATGGAGGATCACATACAAGTGGCATATATTTGGAATGTGAACAACCAAACAAAACAAAAAATCTGATTTCATGACACAATCGGAAGTGAGCATTAAGGCCTGCAGTGAGAACGCAGCCTTAATGTGTCAAATACCTCTGAAGCACAAAAAGTGCCTCAAATTAAACGATAAAAAGGATCGATAAGGCCCTAATTTAATAAATTTAATACAACAGTAAACAAGACTAAGAAGCTAAATGAAGCTAACAGTTTGTTCAGATGAACAAACAGGAAATGGAGGAAGTTTAAGAATCTTAAAAATTGCTTCAGCAGTCCAACAGATGAGATTATGGTTTTATTTATCACTGTCTTTTTATTAAAGTTTTTTCTTATACAGGTAAGATCCTCTGGTTACAAAGGAGTATTTATCCAACATAGATAAGAAATAATAAAATAAAGTACAGAAAAATAATCTCTACAAATGAATCCCATTCACTCCCATTAAGGTCACTGCAGTGTCACTGCAGGTCAAACCCCTGACAAAAACGGAGCACATTTTATTAAAAATCCGTTCATCTGAAATATTGAATATTTTGTAATGGGTCGAGAAAAGGGCCCATTTTTTTTTTTTTTTTCCAGTTGAGTGCTGAAGAGACGATACATTTTTTCCAGTTTCAAGCATGACCTAAGATCTTATAACCACTGATTGTGCTTTGGAGGAGCAGGTCAGAACTGAGATGCAAAATGGCAATGCCTGTCTTTCAGAGGCTGGCAAAGGCAATTCCCCACCACTGAAGCCAAAAAGAGCCAAAAGAGAGCCTGGTGTTATTGCCACTCTGAGAAACCTGGGCCGGGTATGAGAAGCATCTGTCCAGAACTGACCCAGACTGGGGCAGAACCAGTACATATGACCCAGTGTGGCTTCAGCAGTGTGGGTGATACGAGATAGTTTGCTTTTGGAGAAGTGGGCTTTATGTACCACTCTAAACTGAATGAGACAATGGCGCACACACAGAGAGAGATGTTGCATTCACAAGTTTAAGAATAGAGGCCCATGTCTCATCTGGTAGTCATGTTCAAGTCTTCTTCCCTTGAGGTTTTAAGTGAGAAGGTCTCTGCCATAGTCAACATTTTATAAAGCCACCAAGTCAGCCCTTTACAGGTTGGGTTCACTAATGGGATGGTTTCTAACAGTGCACACTCCGGCCAGTGATGTCGGTAACACATTACTCATCTGACCCCTTTTTTCAGTAACAAGTAGTCTAACATGTTGCTATGTCAAATCCAGTCATCATTTTAAAGTTACTTATCCAAATCACTGTGCGTTACTATTTTCTTTAGT